GGGGGGGGGGGAGGGGGCCGCCAAAATTGTTTTTGCTTTGGGCGGCAAAAATCCTAGAGCCGGCCCTGCCTAGGGCTTTCCAGCCCCCACAGCCTTTCCCCAGCCCTGCCTCACTCTAGGTCCCCGGATGAGTGCCCCAGCAGCCTGGCCTGTCTCTTTCTCTCTCTCCAGTCAGAGTGAGACTCCTGAGCTTCTGGCTGCCCTGGCCTTCTTATAAGGCCTAGATGCTCAGGTTGGGACATGGCCCCAGCTGCAGCCACTTCCGCCAATCAGCGGGGGTTTTGCTCCCTTCTGCAGCCCCAGCCCCCTGCAGGGCTTTTCCAACCCCTTCAGGGCTGGAGCTGGTGTTCACCCCACTACACAGCTCCAGGGGGGTTGGGATAACTCAGTGGTTTGAGCATTAACCTGCTAAACCCAGGGTTGTGAGTTCAATTCTTGAAGGGGCCACTTAGGGATCTGGGGCAAAATCAGTACTTGGTCCTACCAGTGAAGGCAAGGGGCTGGACTCAATGACCTTTCAGGGTCCCTTCTGGAGATAGGATATCTCCATATATTATTATTATTTCCTGCAGGTGTGAGGGCAGGGGCTGGCTGAGCCCAGAGCCATTCCTTAACCCCTTGTTGCCCAGTGTGGGGTTTGTGTACCCCATCACACCTTCCTATATTGAATCCAGCACCTATGGCAAGTAGACAGGGCCATGTTGTAGTCTCTGTTACTTATCTGTGTATCCACACATGCCACACTCATATCTCCAGACATGATCCTGATTGGCACAGGGCTGGGCTGCGTTGGCTGAACTACATTCAGAACTGGAACCCGGATTGTTTTAAGTACTGCAACCCCATGCCTTCAATCAGCAGCTTGTCCCACTGCTGCTCCCAACCTCTTCCATGCCTGGCAAAGGAGCTGCACGCATATTAGACAAGGAAGCTGTGGGATGCTTCTGTCCTATGCTTATTGTGGCTTGCTACAGTGATAAAGTTGTGTTTTTAATGAGACTAGGTGGGTGATGTAATATCTTTTACTGGAGGAACTTCTGTTGATGAGAGAGACAAGCTTTGCAGTAGAGTTCTGCTCTAAAGCTTGTCTCTCTCACCAGCAGAAGCTGGTCCAATAACATATATTACTAAAAAACCCACCTCCTTACTCTAATATCTTGGGACCAACAGGGCTACAACCACATTCCAAACAACATATTTTTAATAGGCAGGCATTGAATCGGGTCCTCTCGCCTTTTGTTGAAGCAATTGTGCTGCTTATGCAAAATACTTTACTTGGAAGGGGGAGAATGGCAGTACAAGGGAGAAAACAGTGAAGGGGGGGGGGATTGCAAAACATTGCACTCCGTTAACTGGAGTCACACCACACAGCTCTCCCCGCAGAGTTTGCCACCCAACCTATCCTGTTCGCATCCCCAGCAGAGAAAGTAAAGTCAGATGAATCAGGAGTTCCAAATGTTTACAGAGTGTTTTAATTTAACAAAAGGAAGAAACTATTTCAAGGGGAATTTCGTGGTCCTTTTCCAGACTGTGCTCTGTGAACCAGATCACTCTTGCTGCAACACTGTTATATGAGTCTGTATGCGTGTCTTAACCGCCCCCACTCTCCTCCACCAGCCTTGTCATTCCGTACCACCATGAATCTGGCACACAAAAAGGCCGGACATTTCCTTAGCAAATCTGCTTCCTCTCAAACGATGTGTGTTCTAAATATGTCTGGCTTCTTCCTTGTGGAGAAAGTTTTCAGCACACACATCCTCTTCCCCAGAACAGTCAGCCCTGCTCACTTCCGTGCCTTGTTCTGCATTACGGCGGTGATACTGCGCCTAGGTATCTAATTCTGTGTTAATACCAGATTAAATACACTGGGATTTAAATGGATTAATCAATGATACCCCCCCCCCCCCACACACACACACACACCTCCTCCGTTACTGGCCGGCTAAGTTTACATAAAAGAGTTGATACCTATTTATACAGCAAAGGAGAGACTGAATGTTTGAATGGAGGGAAGAGTAACTCGTTGTGCTTTATTGTACCCATGTGTGCAGTGCCTAGTGTAAACGTCCTCTCGGTCAGGGTGGAAGTCAAACTGCTGGGTTTGATCCGTTTATGAAGCTTATGCTGCTGATTTAAAACCCAGGAGTCGCTGGTGTGAGTAGCTAGCTGGGGCACTCTGGGGAAGGTGCATGAGGGAGTTTATTGGAGAGGAAGTTGCTACTTCAGAGAATCGGGTCAGTTTCGCCCGGGACAACAGTAAGTCATGCCCTCGGGGTGGGGTGGGGGGCTCTTTCGCGAACCGCTGGGTCCCAGCATCTCCTCCAAGAGGGTAACTCGCTCCCCTTTTTACAACTAGAAAATGCCGGCGATCAATATAGAGGATCTGAGCGAAAAGGATAAACTGAAAATGGAAGTTGAGCAGCTCCGGAAAGAAGTGAAGTTGGAAAGACAACCGGTGAGTTCCCCCAGGCTGCCCCCTCCCCAGTCCCCGGAGAACCTGCGGCTGAAATAGCCCTATCGCCCTGGGGAGGCAGATTGGAGCTGCGGTCTGGCTGGGGCGTGAACAAGATCTTTAGCTCTCTAGTCTCCGGGGTTGGGGAGGGGGGGCACTTCGAAAGTTACTCTGCTCTTTTTCAGCCTTAGGTTAACAACAACAACAACAATGCCTAAAATAACCTCTCAATGGTGAGCGCTGCAGTGTCTCTCGCAGCGCGGAGAAGGGTTTTCGCGCCCTACTGAAGCGCTGACCCTCCTTATGGGAGTGAAATGAGACATGCAGATAGATGCCTGCGCGGTTAAATGAGCTGGTTAATTTCGCCTATCAATGGGTCACTGATGGGAGAAAAGGCGCAGAAGCGCGATCTCAGACTGGGGAAAGGATTTCAGACCCCACGAGCTCTCCCTTCTTGCAAAAGGTAGAGGTGGGGATTGAAGAGATGAAACAAACATTGGGGCCGTGATGTCTTTGTGTGTTTTTAAAATATACTTAACGCTCAGTAACTTTTAATGAATTTTAGATTAGTTTCTCGCTCCCCACGTAGTTTAGTTTCTGGTGACTGTACCTGCTACCCTCCGTCACAGAAATCGGAGCTAAAAGCTTCTGAAAACTATAGGAAGGAGGATCCAGACTTATGGAGGTTAAATGTGAGTGATACAGCCTGAGAAATGTCCCTATAATTGTAGGAAAAAAGAGGAAAACACATTAACAAGTTAATCATAGGGTGTTAGCGCTAAATTCGGTATTCTCTGCTGCTAAAACCCAAGGGCTCAGCGAGACTGGGTGTGGTGCAGTTGGCACAGGGCAGCTGAACTGCTCTCTAAAGAGGAAATAAAGACAAGGGACCATTCAGACTTTTAAACTGTGGAATGAAATATCCACTGTGTGCTGAACATTGGAATATGTGACCTCAACCATGGGATTTTCTCCCCCACTGAATTTGACCGGAAATAGACATTTTGGAGATGGTCTAGAACACAAAATGATTTTGCTGGTTTCTAGAAACCAAGTCCTATCATTCAAAACAGCCTTGTTAGTTAAAATAAAACTGTACAAGCCAGTGGTTCTCAGACTCTGGTCTCCAGAGTTCTTTCTGGTGCTTTGCAGGGCTTCCAGGCCAGACACAGAATGACCTGGGAGGAATTCCCCAAAGTCTCTCCCTATTGTGAAGTGGTCCACAGAAGGACAACAGAGAACAGTTGTTGTAGAACCGTGGCCCATAAGGACCGATTCAAAAGTCAAAGGTGTTTTGTTGTTGTTTCTGGTGATGCACCTTGTGAAGTAGTATGCAGTCAACAACCTGAGATGTATTTTACTGTGCACATTTTCTGTAGATGAACATTCTTGATCCATAGATTTTGCATCTGCTCCTGTTCCCACTGGAGTCATTGACAAAACTCCTGTTTACTTCAGTGGGAGCAGGATGGGGCCCTGAATTTAATCCCTGATCCTGTATCTACTTAAGCAGTTGTATAACTTTACTCACATGATGTCAATGGGACTGTCCATCTGAATAAAGTTACAGATGCTTAGCCTGCAGGTTCAGGGACTTTGCTCAGAAACAAAATATTGATGTCAGAGGTGTATTTTAGTCCATGAAATAGATATCAGTGATTTTTTTAGAATGATTATAGTTATCTATATTACAAGAGAACCAAGATGCTCCAATAGGATCCAGAGCCCCTTGCAATGTGTATAAATGCATATTAACATCTGATTCTTGCCTCAAAAACATTGAAGTGACTAAAAAACACTCCATAGGATGCACATAATCTAATGTGTTTAAAAAGAAAGAACATTATTGTAAATAAGATGAGAGTCTGAGAAATTTAGGAGAAGGCATAGTTGGGAATCTCCATAATGCCAGCAGAGAGAGTGTCCCTCACCTGTATGGATGTACCCTGTTAGGTTGCATTGTAATACTTACCAGTCTTTTATTTCCTGTCAATTATGTTTCCCATTATCCATGTGCATAAATCACCATTTGATATGAGAATTTTGTGCACATACAGAACCACATCCCCTATTCCTCTCATGGACAAAAGCAAATATGCCTATCAAAGTCCCTTTGACTTCAACTGAATGCAAAAAAACCCTCTTCATCATTTTGACATGATGTAGTGAGGAAATTTCCTTTAAAATAATCTCCCTTGGTGAATAAAAATATACAGATTCATACTCAAGAGAAATGTTTCTCTTAAGCAAAAAGGATCCTCCTCTTCAAGATCCAAACAAAATAAGCCCCCAATCCTGCAAGCGCTTTCACACATGCTTTACCACCATGAATAATCCCAACTGAAATCAATGGATCTGCTCATGGTAGTAAAGCTAAGTATGTGCATAAGAGTTTGCAGGATGGGATCCAAGTTATTAACCATAGGCCCTATGTTTCTCCTTACTGTGACTTAGTCATAGGTTATGGGTAATTAGATCTTATTCGATACACTTAATGGCCTAAGACTTAACTTTTCATAATCTAGTAGCAGGGGTGCTGGGACAGTTTGTATAGTAGGGGTGCTGAGAGCCATCAAACCAAACTGTAAACCCTGTATATGATGGAAACCACTTCAAGCCAGAGTTGCTGCACCCCTAGCATCCCTACTTCCAGCACCTATGTCCATTAGAATCTCTCTATTGTAAGTAGGCCAGATGTATTGATTCTGTTGTAATGACTATTCTACTTCTATTTCTATTATATATAAGTTCTTATACCACACTCATCACCATAGTAGCTGAACATCTTCCTGTAGTGACTATGTACCTACCATTTGTTGCTTGTTTCCTCATCCTCTTTCCTTTGGGGAGAGAAGCATGTGTCTTATTTTGGTAGGTTTAATTTTGTTTGGTTGAACAAAACACAGAGGCAGAGGAAGTGCCCAAATCCACTAAAAATGGGAAGAATAGCCAGTGTGTCAAGTTTTTCCCTTCCCAGAAACAATAGAAGCCCCTTCCTGGAGACTCCTCCTAACTGTGCCTCTGCAGGGCTCTCTTGGAAATGGGAGGGGAATGCTGGGAAGAAGCAACTCTATTCAGAATGCAGTCCTCTAACATTCCAGATATCTAAGGTATCAGGGACAAGTTGTTGCTTCTGTAGGTGAAGCCATGTTGCTCCAGGGAAGAGGAAATCAGGCAGAATGAGGGATGCATAAACAAAGGGGATCTCCAGAATCTGTGGGATTTGCCCATAGGGTCTGGAGACTGAACTCCTGGCCTTTTCTGTAGGGTTTCAAATCGCTCTTCCTTGGGAGAGCACAGAACATAGACATTTCTCTAGGACAGGGGTTCTCAACCTTTCTCTTTCTGAGGCCTTCTCTTTCTCTCCTCCCCCCGCTATAAAAATTCCATGGGCCATCTGTGCCACAATAACTGGTTTTCTGCTGCATATAAAAGTCAGGGCCCGCATTACGGGGTAGCAAGCAGGGCAGTTGATTAGGATTAATGATTAGGGGTATGGAACAGCTTCCGTATGAGGAGAGATTAATAAGACTGCCACTTTTCAGCTTGGAAAAGAGACAACTAAGGGGGGATATGATAGGGGGTCTATAAAATCATGAGTGGTGTGGAGCAAGTAAATAAGGAAGTGTTATTTACTCCTTCTCCTAACACAAGAAATGGGGGTCACCAAATGAAATTAATGGGCAGCAGGTTTAAAACAAACAAAAGGAAATATTTCTTCACACAACACACAGTCAACCTATGGAACTCTTTGCCAGAGGATCTTGTGAAGGCCAAGGGTTCAAAAATGAATTAGATAAATTCATGGAGGATAGGTCCATTAATGGCTATTAGCCAGGATGGACAGGGATGGTGTCCCTAGCCTCTGTTTGTCAGAAACTGGGAATGGGCAACAGGGCATGGATCACTTGATGATTACACTGCTCTACAGCCAAAATGCTTCTGAAATAAATGTAGTCAAACTTTACTAATTCTGGGTCACTGAGAACGAAAATGATGCTTAAAATTGTTGATTGGCTCTAGTTTTCAAGATATGCTGTTGGGTCAGTATATACGACCCTTGACTTGGGAATGGCAGAGGATAAGTGAGTTATAAAGGGAAGGGATCTCAATTTAAACCAGAAATGACTAAAATACATCTTTGACTGGATCTATGAATAAATCTATGACTGGGTTTGGACAGTACTTGCTTTTTAGGCAAAACAATGAATGATGAAATCTGAAGCTGGTATTGCGTCAGACATGATATGAATTGCATCATGTTATTCCTAGAAGTCATGGATGATGCAATCATAATGAAGCTTACATCACTCTGCTGAACAAATTGCCCTATATCAGCTCTAGAAATCATAGAGTGTCGTGCTCTCTTATTTGTCAGTGTTTGATTTTGCAAAGGGACACATTTCTGTTTAGCCAAAGTGAGCAGAGATGCCTCGTACTTGTGTGAACAGTGCAGATAACTTCTGCTAAGTTTGTGGTGAAGTGACTTTTGCATCACAAAAGCGCAGTATAACCACTATGGATAAGAAAGCCTATCACCTTTATTTTGGCTGCAAAATTGGAGAGCAGGACAAGAGGTGGGCCCCACACATATGCTGCATCACTTGTGCGACAAATCTTCGCCAGTGGTTGAACAGGAAAAGGAAATCTATGCCTTTTGCAGTGCCAATGATTTGGAGAGAGCCAACAGATCATACCAGCAATTGTTACTTCTGCATGGTGCCTCCAGTTGGGAAAGGTGTGTCAAAGAAGAAAAAGTGGACTGTGCATTATCCAAACATTCCATCAGCTATACGCCCAGTACCCCACGGAGAAGGACTGCCGGTTCCTGATGCACCAGAATCATTCTCACTTGAGTCAGACGAGGAAGAGGAAGAGGATGAAACTTCTGGTCCTGAACCATCAATGTCACAGGACCCACATTTTCTCCCATCCTCCTCCTCTGAACCACACCTCATAACACAAGGTGAACTGAATGACCTTGTCAGGGATTTGGAACTACCCAAGAGTAAGGCAGAGCTGTTGGGCTCCAGACTACAGCAGTGGAATCTCCTGGCAGGTGATGTTAGGGTTTCCATGTTCCGTGACTGTCAAAAGGATCTTGTCCCATTCTTCTTCATGGAAGGTGATCTTGTAGCCTGCAATAACATCGATGGTGTGATGGCAGCCCTCAACATCGTTCACGATCCAGATGAGTGGAGACTGTTCATTGATTCATCGAAGACGAGTCTTAAAGCTGTTTTACTGCATAATGGCAATGTTTTGCCATCAATTCCAGTTGGTCATGCAGTCCATATGAAGGAAACCTATGACAACATGAAACAACTTTTGAGGTGCATAAACTATGACCAACATCAGTGGCAGCTTTGTGGCAATTTGAAGGTTGTTGCTCTCTTGCTTGGTCTGCAGACTGGATACACAAAGTACTGCTGTTTTCTCTGTGAATGGGATAGTCGTGCAAGAGATTCCCACTACATCAAGAAAGATTGGCCACTCCGACAGCCATTGGAGCCTGGGAGGAAAAGTGTTCAGCATCCACCACTTGTTGAATCAAGGAAGATTTTGTTACCACCCTTACACATCAAGCTGGGTCTGATGAAGAACTTTGTCAAGGCCATTGACAAAACACAAGCAGCTTTCAAGTACCTCCGTGGAAAATTTCCAAGGTTAAGTGAAGCTAAGATAAAGGAAGGTGTCTTTGTTGGTCCTCAGATTCGTGAACTTCTTCGAGATGATGCATTTGACCATGCACTGCGTGGCAAGGAAAAGATGGCATGGAAAGCCTTCCAGTTAGTGACAATAAATTTTCTCGGAAACAACAAGGCAGACTACAGGTTGTTGGTGGAAAACCTCCTCAAGACATACAAAAGCCTTGGTTGCAACATGTCACTAAATATACATTTTTTGCACTCTCATCTAGATTTTTTTCTACCGAACTGCAGAGCAGTGAGCGACGAGCAAGGCGAGCGATTTCACCAGGACATTGCAACAATGGAGAAACGCTAACAGGGCAAATGGAGCCCATCAATGCTTGCAGACTATTGCTGGACAGTGACAAGAGATGCTCCATTTAATGAATACAAGAGACAAGCCAAGAAGCGCCGAGTAGACACTGAATAGGACTAAACTATGTACATAATAGTTTTTTGCCTTTTGTTTCATAATAAATTTTATTTATATAACCCTTTTGCTGATTTTTAAAGTGTTACATAAACAGGACAGGTGAAATATTATCATGTAAAGAAACCATAAACACATGAAAAGACCTAGGTTTACAATTTATGATTAAAACTATACTATCTACACAATATACATAGACATAAAATGTAAAAACTTAAATATCTTAGAAACAGTAGCCAATCAGTTGTTTTAATTGTCATATTTGAATTCAGCACATCAAAATACATAATAAATAGCACATTTTATCTCTGAAGCAGACGACTTCTCAAAAATTGTAGACCAGTGTTACCTGTCCTGTTCATTCCCTCTGGGTCACGTGGCATTGGCCACTGTCGGAAGATAGGATACTGGGCTAGATGGACCTTTGATCTGACCCAGTAGGGCCATTCTTATGTTCTTATGCCACAGGGGCCCTGCAAAGCTACATCGCTCAGGTTTAAGCTTCAGCCCCAGGTGGCGGGGCTTGGGACTCAGGGCCCTGGGCTTCAGCCCAATGTGGTGGGTTTTAGGCTTTCTGCCCTGGGCCCCAGCAAGTCTAATGCTGGCCCTACTTTGCAGACCCCCTGAAGCTTGTTTGCGGCCCCTCCAGGGGGCCCTGGACTCCTGGTTGAGAACCACTGCTCTAGGAGTTTTCCCCCTTCCGTAGTTCTCTAAATTGGAAGGGAGACTATAGTCCCATGTTAGTAGATGTTACTTTGCCATGAATTTGTCACAAAATATCACACAGCATATTACAGTAGATGCTCATGAGTAGGAACATACAGTGGTCTTTTGTTATGTTGCTCCTAAGCAGCTGTTGCTGTTATGGGGAGTGTCGACAATTCAGTGAGGAAAGCGTTCCCAGGGGAAATGTTGCTCGTAAAGGGAGGTTGCTCTTACAAAGTGTTGCCGCAAACAAGCATCTACTGGAAGACCACTGTATGCTTGAAAGGACAATGACAATGTGTTTAGGATGTTATACTAACTGCTGTTTATAATAAGCCTTTGTAACCGATAAGTGAAATGTGCTTCCTTGTTGAATTTTTTTTCTTCCATTCAACATGCTTGTTGTTGTAGGACTACACCTTGACTGTTGGCTTTTGTTATAATAGAAAAAAGGGTACTGAAGCATTTGTTTGGAAAAATGTGTAATGTTACATTGACTTTGGGTTCAAATTCTACTGATTCTGCAGCAGTTGCATATGAATACCATTGAAATCAATGTGAGTTTTGTGTGATCCTAATTTAATTACATTATTAGGTTTTAGTTTTTTATTTTTAAATCAGTGGAGGATTTTTATGTGCAGTAACTGCAGGACTAGGCTGTATATCATCTGTACTATGATATGTTTTCACACAGAAGCTTATGTGGATGTGTGATGCAACATTAAACATCCTGGGCACACTTCTGAGCTGTTGCTTGCAGATTTAAAAAAATATATATATCTTAGCCAACCGTTTCAAAGGTAACTATTGATTTTTGAGTGCAACTTGAGATACTTTTAAAAGCCTGATTTTTCAGAAGGAGAATGCTCAGTATTTTCTGAAAAGGAGGCTCCTAAAAGGTGTCTCAAGTTGGACACCAAAGTATTGATGCATCCAGAATTACTAGGCACTTTTGAAAAATATGACCTTTACTTCTTTTACCAATAAATATGAAACACATACTTGGGAGGGGAACAAACAGCTCACCAAATAAATCATTTATTGACTGGTTCAGAAGAAAAAAATACATTTTACAAAACTGTAGGAGGAATAAAAAGAAAAGAAACTTGACTTTTAACATACTTTCAAATTTAATAATGTTAGAGATTATTATAACACAAGTATTTGTTTTTGTTTTAAATTTAGGGCCTGATTTTTGTAGGTGCTCAGTGATCACATGTGGAGCACTGGCAGCATCAGGTCCTTTTACATATAATGTAAATATAAGAGAGAAAAAGAATGTTATGAAGTGAACGTTGTCTTTCTATTCTAATGCGAAATGTGATTGCTATGTATAAAGCAGAACCTTATTTCTTCTTTTATTTAAGGTGTCCAAATGTTCTGAAGATATAAAGAACTACATTGAAGAAAGATCTGGAGAGGATCCTTTGGTCAAGGGTATTCCTGAAGACAGGAATCCCTTTAAAGAGAAAGGAGGCTGTGTCATTGCATGAAAGAAAAGTCTGCAATTGGAACATACATTATTGTACCTTTAGTGGATAACTAGTTTGTCCTCACTTCCATGGGTCCTTGTTGAACGAGTACTGTCAATGGATTAAAAACAACAACCTTGAATGAGAATCTTGTTTATCTCTTTATCGTTTTATATGATCTAATTATATCTCACTACTTGATAATACTTTGTCCCCTCTGGGGAACAATATTTAGAAGACAAATACTTGCTTAATGTACTAATGGGCATTTGCGTGTAGTGTCTGTTTAGCATGTGGTTTCTTGACTCTTGCATTTACTAGCTCGTTTTAATAAAAACTCTTGCTTGTACCAACGCTTTAGTGTTCCTTTAGAAAAAGATATGTAGAGAATGTGGTCAAACGTTTGCATTTTCGTTGCATGATGCTTGTGGCACACCCTGAACCACCCAGCCCCAGGGCAAGAACTACTTCGGGGCGACGTGAAGGCGGGACAATTGGGTAGTTTAAAAGTCTCATTGAACTAACCTGGAAAAAGGAAGAGAACAATCGTTCACCCCCAAATTAAACGAATGGAGCAGCAGGCTGTGTCCGCAACAGTCAGGCGGCCGGGGAGGGTGCTGTTTGCAGCGCCTTTCCCAGCAATGTAAACTTCCCGGGAACAGCGTGTAAACCCCGCAGCCGCCTGTGTTTGCTAAGGGCTGCAGCCTGCGAGCTACAGGTCACTCGCTGGACAGCTGTCGCGGCACCAAATGCGCCTCGCCCGCTAAGCCCGGCGAGGAACGCGCCGAGCAGGTGCAGCGCCGGTGACTCCGGGCAGCGCCCTCGCCTCCCCCCAGGCTGCGGTCCCGGCTGCTGCGCATGTGTGTTGTTCCCTCCAGTTCCGTGCTGTCCCCGCCATGGCTCGGTGCTGGCCCGGCCTGCTGGCGCGCGGGGAGTGGGGCAAGTGGCGCTCTGGGCTGTCCGGCCCCGCTCGGTCCCAGCTGCGGGCGGGCAGCTCGAGCCGCGCCCCTGGAGCCGCCGGGGAAGGAGCCCACTTGCTGTACTCGCGGGAGCATTACGCCTTGAGGGCGTCTCTGCGAAAGGTACCAGCCTGCCCTGCGGCTGGGAGGTGGTTCCCCGCTTCGCTCAGTACAGGGGGAGCCTGGGTACTTTGCAGCCTGAGCTAGCTTTGCTCTTGCGGTGTCTGGGCGCAGGGCTCCTCTCCAGCTGCCCTCGGCCTGGGCCCTCCGTGAAGAGACCCTTGCGAGGCCCCAGTTGCTCTCCCGCTCCCTATCATCCGGCTCTCCCCAGCTCCTGGTTCAGCTGTGTCTGTACAGTGCCCCTCGCTGCCATTACCCTGCCAGTATCTCCCAAGCACACCAGCTCGGGTGCTCAGCCGTGGCTGCCGCCTGATGGCTTGAGGCAGTGCAGAGCCTCTCTGGAATTCGGGAGCCTCTGGCGGTGACCCCTAGCCAAGGACTGGGAAGTCAGGAGGGACACGACTTTCTGAGCAGGATAATTAGGGGATTGATCCCAGCCCACTGACACCGGTCAGCTGGCGCTAGAAAGGGGGAACTAGGGGTGGCCCTGAAACTGGCAGGTTAGTGTGTAGTATGGAGTCCCTAATGTGCCCTGCTCAATGAGGTGCATAAACCACCTTGCCCTAAGGTTGCCACTAGTATCTTTGGTAGGTGGTCAGTTTAAATATAGGTAATATAGTCTCCATATTTACTGTGGGTTTGGTACAATAATAAGTATAACTATTTGTTTACCAAACATATTGACAGAAATGTTTCATACTTAGTTTAAAATCATTAGCGAAGCCATTTTTTGTTCACGTTCAGACATTCTCCAGGTCATGTTTGCAACTTGGAAATTATAGGACTGTGAAAGAGAAATAGAGGACGGATAGCTAGGCAGGCAATGCACACAGCTGTTTTCATTAGCCTCCTTAAGTGAAATGTACACATCAAACAGCAAACATAGTGGGAAAGAAAAAAAAAGATTTTTAAAACACAGCTGATTTTAATATTTTTCAAGGTTGTTAGAAAACAGGTAAGAAACTTTTGTAAAATACATAACTTTAAATGACTTTCTCTCTTTGGAGACTTTGTATTAACAATATTGGTTCAAATTTTCCCTGAAGTAGTTCCACTGAAGTTAGCAGAGTTACAACAAGGGCAAGTTTGGCTCATTATATCAGAAAGCAAAGATTTATTTTCCTCCAATGACATACTTTGAAAAACATTAATTGATAGAACTCTTGGTATGTAACCTCTTATCAGCAGTAAACCTTTCTTATTATGTAATGTGGTTTAAACAGAGTTTCAATCTGAGCTGTAATCTAGACAATAGTAATAATCACTTAGCTTCTTAGCCACACACAGTCCACCCTCAGGCTCAGGAGGTTACAAAGCTTTTACTAATTATGTTTGCAGGCTTATGGTTGGGATCCAACAGGAGTTTGGCTTTTAAACAGACCTTCCAAGTCTCTTTGATTTGGATGAAAAGCCCTTTGTTTTCGATTAATGTTAAAGCTATTTAAATGTCCCTACTTTAAAAAAAACCCACCCAAACAAGTTGTCATAATTTGACATTCCTGTTTATAATTAAAATCTACATCTATTTTTGCACTAAGTAGGTGCACGGTTTTGCTTGAGATCTGTCCTCAACTGCATTACAAGGCCAAATTCTGCTCTTAGTTAGATTTGTGTAATTTCAGAGTATTTCCTGTGATTGGAGATTATGGAATTACTTAGGCATTTGATGGTGCAGCTAAAATCAGAATTTGGCCCTTCAGTTTCTATTTATAATGTGAGAGAAGGGATCTCTCTAAGGAGGTGTTTGAGGAAATGGCAGTCAGGGTGCTCTGTAACAATAATCATTATTGTGAAGAGATCCTAGATTTAACAGCTAGTTAAAGCAACAGTCATAGTCATACTAATTGGTCTCTGACAGTCAGATTCAGCACATTAAAAGTATTGTTACAGAGAATACTTTTAGAGTACAGAGCTGAGAATCAGGGTTTATGACCTGTGTAGAAGAGTGTATATTGCCAAGAGCTGCTCTTTATAGTAAGAATGTTGTAGGTAAAGAATATATTTTTTCTGAGTTCCTTTTAGGTGGCCAAAATTCTAATTTCTGGTTCAACTTTGATTTTCATAGGTTAAAAAAAGGTTAACTCATGAATAATGTACTGGTGTTTGAAAAACAGAGTTGTTTCTCAGTCTTCTAATCCACTGAATTACAAACACTTTCCACGTGTGACATTGATTTAGAAATCACAGATTGGACCACCAACTTTCACATGCTTGAGCTGTTCCAATCCTCTTTATGCTGTAGGATATCTAGAATATGCAGTTTGCTTCATTATTCAAAGCAGAAAAATAATTTGAAAAATTCCTTAATATTTTCATTATTTGCTGTTTTCCTAAACTTTTTCAGAATTATGTAATAGAATCTATTTATATATTATACCACTGTGTATGTATACAATGTACATTTCATACTGTGTATCTGAACAGGATTGAGTGGATGTTTTTGGTCTTTTAAATTTGCACAGTGTATGCAGAGTACACTCCAAAAACAAACAATAGTATCTTGATCATACTTGGTGTAATAGGGCCTGACTCTGAATTCCTGGCAAATGAAAAATTCATATTGAACTCAGTGAGAATAATAAGTATACAAGAAATTCAGAGTAGAACCTCTTTTGTGTATGCATGTAGTATTCTTGAGAGGAATATGAAGGGACTATGTAAGACCAAATAGTCCCTCAAGACAAAATAAGAGAGGAGCTTCTAATAAAATACAAGTTTAAATGAGTACAAAGTAACAACATAATCTAATTGTGGCATCAGTGAGTTCAGTGTATTACCAAGTCACATGGTCCCCACAGCCTGATATCTATACCAGTATCACAAGTAGAAGCTTGAACCACTTTTTCTACACTATGACCTACAAGGCACAACTGTGATAATCATTAGGATTCATGATGGGAGGCTTTGCACTGTATGAATGAAACGGGTCCATCTTATGCTATGATTCCTGCCAGTGGACGATATTTCATTTCACTTGGGATTTTGTGCATTACTAGATGAGTATAACCTTTCCAAATTCCTTTATTTCTTAGTTCAATGTGGGAACAGACAGTTGATTCATGTTGTTTATTTTCCTTTCATTTTAAAATTACAACTTATACTTCTCATGCTCAAACAAGATGTACCATTGTCTCATTAGTTTAAAGGATGTTTAATTAGTGTGTTGATATGCACGAATAATGTTAGGCCTCTTCCCCTGAGCTTTGTTCCTTGTATATATTCTGTTGTGCCTTGATTTCTATTCACATAAAGGAAAGATTTCTATGTCTTGATTAGTATATTAATACAAACAATATTATTCACTTAGACTGAACCCCTGGATCCTGCACAAAGCCAGAGTAAATTGACTGTACATAGGATGAGGAATCCTCCCCAATCTGTGAAGTGACAGCAGAGTAACTCTATAGCTGCTCCCGCAGCCTTAGGTTTGCAGAGATCCTTGCTGCAGATGGAGGGTTTGACCTGCGTATCTGAGAAGTCAGAGATCCACCAACTTCCTTGGACAGCATACTCCTCTCCCCATATACTAGCATATAGGGAGGCACATGAAGAGCTAGGTTCTGTGGTGCAGAGAGGCTGCAGAACTATTGCATTCATCTCTTCATGTGTAGTGGAACTACACTATTTCCACTTTGTTCTGGGGCTGTAGGAGTGTGCATGTGCTTAGGGACTAGGGTTTGTCCCTTATTTAATAGAAAGTATCACCAGCTATTAAGTTTGGCAACTCTAAAACTTAGAACAAATTAAAATACCTGAATACAGAGAGGAAGGATGGTCTCGTGCAGGGGTTCTCACAACACATTTTTTTGGTGGCCTCAGAGTGTGGCCACCAACTCTCACTGGTGGCCGCACTGACACTTTTTCTAAAATACTTCATTAACTTTAGGAAAAACAATTAAAAATGCACAGATTCACATCCAAGTCATTGTAATTTATATTTGTAGGTTTTTTTGACAGACTCAATAATAAAAATAATGCTGCCTCCCCCTTCGGCTTCCCTATCCAGGGCTTAGTGGGTCCTGGGGCTTGCTGTGAAAAGTGATATTTGTATATTTGTTAATATCACAGCATACTTTAGCTACTTGGGAGGCTATGAAAAGTGGTAAGTGATATTAACAAACATGCAAGTATCAGTGTTCACAGATAGCTAGTAAGTCTGCTGTGAACAGTGGTACTTGCATGTTTGTTAATATCACTTTTCTCAGCAAGCCCCAGGACCCAGTAAGCCCTGGATGGGGGGGCTGAAGGGGAGGCAGCAGGAGCCAGAGGCGATGGTGGGATGGAGTGGGGCGGGGGAGGAAGCGGGAGCCCGGGGCAATGCGGGGGATGGATGAGAGGCCAGGAAGGCAGTGGGGTCCAGGGCCGATGGGGGGAGGGGGAGAATGGATATAGGGCCGTGGGAGGCAGCAGGGGCCAGGGGCAATGGGGGTGGGTGATGAGCCCCACTGTCTCATAGCCAGAGCCTGCTGTCTGCTGCCATGCAGCCAGGACTGGGGCTCAGTGCCCATGGTCAGAACCTGGAGCCGGGAACAGGAACTGTGTGGCTGGAGCCAGGGATCGGAGCCTGCTGCCACACAGCCGGAGCTGTGGGTCAGTGCCCAGGGCCAGTGCCTGCTGCCGCATAGCCAGAGCCCGAAGCTGGGTGCTGGAACCCAGGGGTGCATGGCTGGAGCCACCTGTTTAAAATTACACCTGTAGTTCAACTGATGTAACTTTCTCCTGGGTAGACAAACCCTAACACAACCACAGGAGAAGTTACAGAAATAATTAGTTGGATTCCATTACTCAGAAATCCTTATTTTGTGTTTCCATTCTTTTTTTCTCTGTAATCTGTTAGGTTAAAAATATAACACTATCTGTAATTTTCCAATTGTTTGAGCATAAAGAGGAAGAGACTCGTGTAATTCCAGGGAGCTGTTTTTAGCAGGGATATTGAAATTGTCATGTGAGTAAGTTTCCTTTACTACTTTTTAGGTCACCACCCTTCCTCTTGGAAATCTCTG